GAGGAGAGGGGCTCTCCCAGCAGGGATCAGTTTCAGGGACCACCCCTAGGGCCCAGCAAATGCTTTCCTGTGAGTTTCCTGATGACATCCCAAAGGGCGGCTGGGAGCTGAGAGTCCCAGGTTCTAGCTTCTGGCCCTGACCCCACCAAGCCCTCTCTGCTGCAGGCCTCAGTGCTCCTGTGTGTCAAGCACTCTCCAGCCCTCAGGGCTTGGGGGCAAGGTGCAGACAGAGGCCACACGCTATCGGTCTGAAAAGTTCCGCTGCCCGGCTGGGCCCTAGAGCTTGGAAGGACCACCCGTGGACCCTCAGGAGGGACCTGCCTGGGTTCTCAGGGCGGAGGACCTGGTCCCCAGCCCAGTCTCATCCCTGGGGGTGGAGGGAGGGGGGTCCTCCATACTCCCCAGCCAATCAGTTACCAGACTTGTCCACGACTTCTTTATCAAAGTAAAAATAACAGTCTGTTTCTGTGTTGTGGTATGGGGCCGGGCTCTCGAGCTGGACGCCCAGGGCCGCCCCACCTCACCCCCAGGCCTGGCCTCCTGGCCTGAGCAGTGCAGGACCACTCCCCTGCATCATCTCCGGGGAGAGTACCCGGACGGACAGGTGAAGAAGGGGTGGGGGTTTAACGGACACAGAGCCCTGGGTGGAGACAGCGTCCTCGGACGAAGGAGCGGGCTAGGCCCCCTCCTCGGGGCTGATGGGGTTTGGGGAGGACCCACCCCTGGGGGCGGAGAGCGGGGGGCCCACCTACTTGGTGCTGGATGTAGGCGTGGATTCGCTCCAGCATCCCCTCGCAGCTGTACTCGTAGGGCAGGTAGGGGTCTACCTGTGGGAGAGACGGGTGGACACATGGGGGAGGAGCGCCGGGCCCCTCCCCGACCCGGCTGCTGGGGGCCAGCCCTGCTCTGCACTGGGGGCAAAATCTGGTGCGTCCGGAAGCCCCTCCCCCCGCACCATCTCCCTGGCCCCTCTGGATCGGCTGGAACACCTGCCTGTGGCCCTAAGGGCCATCCCACCCCCTGCCTGCCCCCTTCCCGGCTGCCCTCCCTTTGTCCTAAAGCTCAGCCCCCATCCCCTCCTGGGCTGTGATGCCTGCCCTTTCCCACAGCCAGCCCAGATGGGTTCACCCTCCCCTCTTAGGTGACACCTCCTCCAGGAAGCCGTCCCTGAGCCCCAGCCCCACTCCTGTCCAGGACCACTCTCCTGGGTGGCACCCTAGAGTTCCTCCAGGGTGGAACTGGCACCTGTGTCATCATTTTTTCAGTATGGAGAGTGGGGGACCACCCCATTTGGTGTGCTGGATGTAGGCGCGGATTCGCTTTCCAGCATCCCTCAAGAGCTGTATCAGAGGGCAGGTAGGGGTTCACCAGGAGACGGGTGACACAGGAGGGAGCGCCTGCCCTCCCCTCACCCGGGCTGCTGGGGCCAGCCTCTGCTCTGCACTGGGGCAAATCTGGTGGCACAGCCCCTCCCCGCGACCATCTCCCTGGGTCTGATCAGCTGAACACTCCTGCTCAGGCCCCTAAGGGCCATCCCACCCCTGCCTGCCCCCCTTCCCCGCTGCCCTCCCCTTGTCCTAAAGCTCAGCCCCCATCCCCTCCTGGGCTGTGATGCCCCTTTCCCACAGCCAGCCTCCAGATGGTTCACTCCTTCCCTCTTAGGGTGAGACACACCTCCTCCAGGGAAGCCGGCCCTGAGCCCTCAGCCTCACTCCTGTCCAGGGACTACTCTCCTTGGGTGGCACCCTAGAGTTCCTCCAGGGTGGAACTGGCACCTGTGTCATCATTTCCGATCTGTCCCTCGTGTCTCCCAGGTTACGGGCCCCCTGGAGAACTGGGACCTGCCCGGTACAGTGCCCGGTATACAGTAGGTGCTCAGCAAGTAGCACCTCCAGCTCTGCCCATATATTCTGCCCAGAAGGTAGAACGTTCACGAAAAGGAACACAGGGGCGTCTCCCGGTCAGGTGGAGCGAGGAGAATTTGTAAGGCTTCCTGCCCAGGCCAGGCACCTGGGAGCTACGTAAGACACGAGCCCCCAGACGGAGAGGCCACAGACCATCTGTCCGAGTACCTGACGGTTACAGAGCAGCCTGCACCGGGGATGAGCAGATGAGCCGAGTAGCTGGGGCCCGAGGAGCAAGGGGAATAGGGAGACACGGTGATAAAGGGGGTGTCCACCGCCCGTGAGTGGGCACCCCACCTCCTTGCCAGTTACCTTTCCTAACCAAGCCCTCTCTGGTGACCCCGGCACACAGCCACCTTGGCTGGACGGGGCCGTGGGGACAGCCCATCCCAGACTCAGAGAGCAGCCTGTTCGGGCCTCCGACCTCGCTTCTCCCCAGTGTGTGTGCACGTGTGTGTA